CAATATATTTCTCAGTCTTTCTCTATTTTTCTATTTGTCACGTTATTACATACAAAAATATTTTCAAAACTACATCTAAAATTATTTTACAATAGGTGACTTATATCATTTAGTATATTTTAAAATTCAATGCTATTTCATTGAAAAAAAAAACAGGTTGTTTTAATTTTTATTATAACGGTAAATAAATACATAATATTAACTTCAAATTAAAACCATGTAAAATCAAACTATTGTCCCCTCTTCATTAGATCAATTAATAGCCAAAACATCAAAGCAAGATTGGTATCAAGCTTGTAGTATAAGAATCAATTATCTGGGTGTGTCTCGTGTCAGATAGCCAAGCAGCCATCAAAACACTAAGCTCAAAAATCATTAGTTCAAAGATGGTGTTAAACTGCAAAACCAAATTATACAAATTAGGTACGCAGAACAAAGTCAGCCTCTGCTAGGTCCCAGGACATAGGGGAGGAAGGCAACGAGAAAGCGGACACCCTTGCAAGGAAAGGAGCTGCTGCACCGCTGATGGGACCCGAACCATTCTCTGACATAGGAATCCACACTATCAATGAGTACCTCAGACAGAAGGATAAAAAGAAAATGAGTGAACAATGGGACACTCGTTGGGCACACACAATTCAAGAATCTCCTAACAAATTTCGGAAGGAAAGAAGTAATAGAATGTATCAAAGGGAGCAAGAAAAAAATGGGAATTCTAACGGTGCAATCGAAATGGATTTTTAAAGAAGATTGGTATAACCCAACACGGCACTTGGAGATTCTGCAAAGAAGCAGAGGAGACACCAACACACCTATTAACAAATTGTGGTGCTACACTTGACCGCATGAGGAAGGGCTTTGGGGCGGACAATGTGACCGTAGAAGAAATTCAACCACTGAAACCGGGCCTATTAATCAAGTTCCTCGATAAAATAGGACTCACCGGTGTGTCATAGGCACAGAACGAGAGATAGAAAAGCTCTTAAAAGGCGCAGTATATTAAACTCCGACTAAAGCGGGGAACACACCCGATGCAACGCTATGCGACGCTACCCGGCACCTTGTCACGTTTTGGAAGTGTGTGCACATCCATGGGACGTCAAGCGCACGCCACAGTCACACAGCGTGTATCACAAATCAGTACCGCAATCGCAACGCCTCTTTTGTGCATCCATGTAATAAATTGTTTGTTAGACTTAATTGTTTTAAATAAAGTTATTCCGGTGTTTTGATAAATTTTCTTCCTAACTGTCATAATTAAATAATTTTTGTAAAAACATGAATTTTTGATCATAAAACATGAATGTTGTAATTTTACAAAATTTCATTTACTTGGTTTGAAATAAACTACAAAAATATGAGTGTCCTGTTCTGACGCTATTCGACGACAATGGTGTAATTTTATGAGCACAACCATGTAATAAATTGTTAGTTAAATTTAATTGTTTTAAATAAAGTTATTCCGGTGTTTCCATAAATTTTTTGCCTAACCATCATAATTAAATAATTCTTATAAAAACTCCTGAATTTTTTATCTAGGTTAATTTGGTTTACATTAAAATAGGAATGTTGTAATTACCATAACGACAAAATTACATAGGCTTAGTTTGAAATAAACTGCAAAAAATATGAGCGTCCTGTTCTGACGCTTCTCGACGAAAATGGTGTAAATTTTATGAGCAAAACCATGAAATAAATTGTTAGTTAAATTTTATGAGCAAAACCGAGTAATAAATTGTTAATTGAATTCATTACATCAAAAAATGGTATTCCGATGTTTTGATCAATTTTGTACCAAACCATTAAAATTAATTTTTTATTAAATAAAAACTAAAGAATTTTTGATCTCGGTTAATTTGGTTTACAAAAAAATAATATATAATTAATATAACGAAAATAATACACGTAGTTTGAATAAGAAATATGAGTGTCCGGTTCTTTTGTCTTCGACTGTACTCGATGCTACCCGACGAAAATTTGGACAGTGGGGATCGCAGAGCGTTGAGTAGGGTAGCGTTGCATAGCATCAGGCAGATGTGCACGGGGGTAATACAATCTTATGGAAAATTGGACTTTGGATTTGCGTCGGGTAGCATCGAGTAGCGTCGCATAGTGCTGGATCGGGTAAGTGCGTTTCCGGCGTAATTCATCTACACTCGCGTCTTATCCAAAATAATCTATCGCAGATGGCTATCGTTAACGTATTGTATCAAGGTTCTATATTTTCTCAATTAAACAAACAAAACTTTTCTTAACGTATCATTAAAAAGAAGTAAAATGTAAATTTTTTGGTTAAATAAAAGTTCATTCAACAAATCAACTTGATTTGCTACATGAAAAAATGAAATTTTTGATGTCGTAGTTAGAAAAATAACAAATGTTAAATGTGGATTGTAGATGCAATTTATAATAAAAGCTAATTTTTTGCAATAACTTACAGCCCACTTATTATAATTATTTAAACAAGACACATAATAAATTATTTTAAAACTTTATTGCAAATCAAACGAACACTGAAAATTGTCAAAACTGTGTCCTTATTCTTTAAAAAAAATCAAGAGTAGAATATCTATCCTAGAAACGTAGAATTGGGCATGATCAATGCAATTTAACTAACGAGGTATGAAGGCGATGTCATCGACATCTGGTTTTCGACATTCTATGATATATGACAATCAACCCTATTGCCATACAGAAAACAGGTTGTGTCGTATTGTAAAAATATATATTTTTTAAACATTGCATTTTTTTAGGGTTGGGGATAAAAAAACGTTTTTCAACATTTATAAACCAGGAATTAGAAAAACCTTTCATCGATCAACTCAAATTTATTAATTCATAATGGCCTCAGATGCTTTTAAATATTAGTTTAGTGCTAACGGAATATTTATGGGGGCGTATAAAAAGATTATCCTGTCTGAGCTAAAAGGCGCTTTTCATTCTAAACCAAACAGCCATGTCTGATTTATACTGCGACGAAAAAGAAAAAGTCCCGAGGGAAATGTTGAATTACAAAAAAATCAAACGCAAAGTGGGTAAAACAATACGATTTTTATTGTTTCTAAAAAAAAAAGCTTTACCTGGAACGAGATTCCAAACCCCCCCCCGGAATGCAGATTAAATGTTTAATTGGCCCTATTTATTTACACTGTCCGGTTCGACGTGTAATCAACGCCTTTTGGACCGGCTCCAAAACCTCTCTGGAATCTCACTAATCCAAACAAATGTTTACAAAATAACTCAATAGATGTAGGAAAATTTAGACCTTGTTTAAAGGTACTTCTACGAGTAGAATACCAAGTATGTCTTAATATAAAGTTGTAATGGGCTCTCGAGCATTATTACAGCCAACAACGTGGAATTTCCTTGGTGAAATGTACATCTTTGAAATGCATGCTTAACTTGATAACCTAGCTGAGTGGTATTTTATTATTTACACCAAGAAATTCTTGTAATATAACGTTTTTAAATTCAAACAAATATTTTATCCATAAAAAACCAAAAGCCTTAGATAAAAAGAATATATAATTCAAATATATTTTTTAATTAATTTCACTTGTTAGTTACAATTATTTTTTATACCTTTCAAATCTACAAGACTTTCGATGAATATTTCTTTGAACTCACCTCGAAACTATCAACTATAAAGATTTTATCATAAATTTCAAATTTTTATTTAACAAATCACAAGAAACGTCGTTTTAAATCCCCACACAAATCTATACAATTGCAGAGCTTTTATAAAATACTACAATGAACAGAAAAAAGGTTATTTTTATGTTTTGTTTAACGTTTTATTACAACAAAAAATATTTTTAAATTATCCCTCTGGGAACACATTTTGGACGAAACGACGTCAGGAAAAAAATGTCAATGGTTTTCCTCTTTCATTTCAGTATTATTATATGTCAGGCAATTCCTTTTTATAGGTAGGGCAAGAAAAAATAAGATGTAACATGATATTAGAACAGACAGATAAATAAAAAGTTACAAAAACCAAAGGCGCTGTCGGTAAAGTGGGAAAATTTCTTTCAATAATTCAGATTCCCTAAAATATCCTTTAAAGCCTTTAGATACGAATTTTCACATAAACAAAAAAATAGACTTTTTGAAGGAGGTTATTCTCTGAGGTCTACTTTCCACATAAAAAACATAACTTTGGATTCTACCCAAATCCAACGTTATTACAACCGTGAAAAGGCATGTCACATATTTCAGGGTATTTCATGAAGGTTTGGATTGTCTGTCACTACACGTGATAAGTATAACGATGAGATTATCAAAAACACCCCAAATGTTTGATTTTATTTATCTCCGGCAATTTATTTACGTAGGCAAAATTTTTACCTTTACTTGGAGTCTACACGGTCCTAATCCCTGTAATGTTCTCTCTGGGTATGTGAAGTTTTCTCAAAGCAATATTTTTCTGAAAAAATTCGAAAATTGTAATTAAAAAGAATTTTTCTTCAAATATAACTCATGGTTGACCAACGGTTTATAAAAAAATTATTTCAGTGTTTTTACGAAACATTAACATTAAATAGAGCAATTTGTTTGAAAAAATTTCATCAAATCTAATGTTCTATAAGTATATTACGTTAAATCTTTTGTAATAACTCATTAATTTTTTTTTCATCGGATATAATTAATATCAGCTTTCTACGTTATACTTGTATGTTAAAAATCAAGGCGAATTTGAAAGAAAAACTATTTTTAGAGCTTTCGAAGAACTTTTATGTTACTCTTTTACCGGACTTAAAACTATTCTGAACTATTTTAAACTGGATAAATAAAAAACATAATTTTCAGATGTATAATTTTAAATTTTGATCTCACATTTCAGCAAATGCAATGTAGTTGTTTTAGTAATTTTTTTATTGAATTATATCTTTGTTACATACCACATAATGCACCGATACCACAGTTTTCCACACAAATTTAGGGCACTTAGCGATTATCAAGTATAAGTTAAATTGCATTAAAACCCAACTGTTTTACAGGTGACATAACTGCGTTAATTCACCTGTTACCATCCAAATAAATACAAATGCAAGTAGGTAAAAACATATATCTTTATCGTACAGAAAACAATTAATAAAAATAATTTATTTATAATATAGCCATCAATTTATCTCTATCTAATGTGTCTATTTTTTGCCTATTCATACGCCATTGCTTTAATATTTACAAACAAATCCGTTACGTTGATCATGACCCATATATTAGATCAGTCAGGCTATTTTTTCACTTATTGTCACGCGATACGTCTCTTTATTTGAATAAATAATAAGTTGTTGATTTTACAAAGCAGCGTAACAATCATATTTGACGTATGTTGCCATTTGACAAGTACGACATGCCATTCATGATTTGAATATATAAGATTTGTGCTTAACCAGGCGTTTTATTCCAATTAATGTAAAGGCCAACAGAATTTATAATTAAAAAAGATTTGTTTTAGTTTTATTTAATTATTTTATTAACTTTTTTAAGAAATATCAGAACTATTTGTTGTTATTATGAATTATTGTTCATGTAAATTATTTTAAATTTTTAAGATCGTATGATAAATAATAACTTTGTCATCAGATATTAAATCAATATTCAATTTACCGAAAAAGAACAAATAACAGATTATTTCAACTGTTGTGAAATAGGCGTTCATTTTCATTTTCACGGTGTTGAAAGCAATACGTATACAATACACAATAGATTCTGACGTACCTGTGTAACAATATAAACTGAACCGACATTGGGCTAACTTGAAGCGCGCAGAAACTGAAAACTTCCGGATCCATTGTTTTAAGATGAATATCATCTTTTCATAAACCAAATTCAGCGGCGTGCTGTTTAAAAATAAATTAAAATAAAAGTACTTACAATATTTTTGATTTTTTTTTTCAAAACAATTTATGCAAATTGGACTTGGAATTGTAAAATAGTAGCACGGTACAAAGGAAACTGTGTACTACGCGGGGAATACGGCGTGAAAGGTAGACTAAGAAAGTATTGATGTTGGGTTTTGAAGGTTTAGCATATCCAAGGCCCCTTGCATTTAGTACTTTTTTATCCCTACCGTAACAAATACTGCAAAAGGTCTTTTTTTAAGAATTATTTTAAACTAACAGTAAGATATCGGAAGAACTACCCTATAGTCGCATAGAATAATATATTTACCCTAAATTTAGAAATAATACTTTGGCAACGTTTGAAGTCACAACTAATATTAAGTTACAAAACATGGGGATTACAAAGTTGTTCTTTTTTTTACCTACTAGTGCTTTTCTTTAATATTTTCTCAGGCCATATTTGTTCTATAAAGTTAAAACGATATAAAGATCCTCGTTTCACACTTGCAACGTAATAAAAACCTTGTTCAATTACGGCTAATAGGTTTTGAGAAAAGTCAATATAAATATGAAAAAACGTTATACCGCGATTTTTTTAGAAAACGCAAGAATACGCTTCTGTACTAGTTTAATTCGATTATTAATTTTTATTGTTACTCCATATTCCAGCCTGTAACCATTAAACCCTCCTAGAAATTATTTGATTTTTACCTACGTTGTGCGTATGTTTTTCCGAGAAGAAAGACGAAAAACGTAGGTTATCAAGGTGACTCTTGTCCGCTTTTTTATTTAGTGTTAAAATTCCTCATGTAGGGACGTGGTATAATGAATGTAAATACTAGGTAATTTTTGCTCAGTTGCTATGAAACAGGCGGGTGTTGGAATAATTAAAAATTCAGTGTTTTCCACACTGAAAGAAGAGGAAAATCATAGATTATCCAAGTTGAATTCAATTCCAATTTTTTCTGTTAAAATTGCTCGTTACATTTTTACTTTATAGTCCAACCTGCAATCAGTAAACCCTCCAGAAATTGTTTAGCTTTTGTTTTAGATTGCGTTTTTCCGAACGGAAAGAAAACCAAAAAGATATATTATCCATATTGAATTCTTGTCCATTTGTTTTCTTTTAAAAGGCCTGTTCAAAAAGTATCTTTAAAAAAATAATCTCAGTTGACATGACACGGAAAGTTACCGGAAAAATTTAAAAAAATTACATACCATATACAGACTTAAACGAAGTCATCAAAAAACGCAGCATAACATTGTGGCAAGAAGAGTATGACAAAGTGGAAAAAGGCCTTGTATATAAAAATTTAAATCCAATCGTATCTACCAAATCATGCTGTGACAAAAGAATGTTTGATAAAAGATCATGCAAAATAATGTGTAGAATAAAATCCAATCATGGCTTATGCAAGGCATATTTGAATAAAATAAATCTAAGTGACAACAACAAATGTAGGTGTCATGAAATTGAAACGATGGAACACATCATTATGAATTGTCCTTCATTGCAGACAGAGCGTCAGGCTATGTTTAATAGGTTACAACCAATAATGGGATCATCCATAGAGTATAGAAAGATATTGGAATCCAAAGATGCGGACGTCTTTAAAACCATTGGCAAATTTCTAAACGAGTCGCAAAAACAAATCTAGTAAAAAAAAATAAAATAAAATAAAATAAATAAAATAAATAAAATAAAATAATAATAATAAATAAAATAATACGAAATTTAAATGAAAATTTAATTATTACATTTAAAAATCATTAAAAACTGGCTGTGGCTAAATAGCTGATGCCAAAAAAAAAAAAAATTACGATAAAAAGTTGGCTACTTATCCAAAGAATGGAATATTAATTTTAAAAAATCAATAAGCAATTGAAAGCAATCGCCGTCAACTCAACTCATGAAATGCGAAGTGAAAACTTAGGAAGATTATAAAAGATTTAAATTATTTCTCATATGATGCAGAGATGTTTTTAAAAAAATAAATAACTCATATTAAAACAAATAAATAATATTAGAGAATTTACAGTTACATCAATATTTTTTAAGTATCATTATTACGTTTGATCATTATTGACGAAAATGCAATTTTTCTCTAATTCGGCTGAAGTCTGAACCTTTATAATATAAGGTGCTTTTTATTTTATGGCGAAGAATTAATAAAACCAGTACAAAACTCGAATGATACGTCCACCAACCATCTCTACTTAGCCGTTGTAAAATGTCAGGATGAGGGTTGTAAGGGGTAAATTGGCCCTGAGGGCTCTATTACGACCATTTACTAAACACAAAGTCTGCCGGTAGCTTCACGCTCGGGAAACTGTTAAGCCCTTTTGATCGATACGACTGAACTGCGTTTATGTGAAATTTTACCTTTTGTCCCGTTGAAATCATTCAAAATGACAATTTCAATTATCCATTTTGTCACGTGTATTTACGTTGTTTCTTAAAAGTATTCGGACTTTGCTAATCGTATTTATTTATTAAGAACCGTACATAAGAGAGTACGTCGTGATTTAATCCACTTGGAGATCGAGCGGGAAATGCAAATCCGTGGGCGGACCGTTATGGAGAGATTCCAAGAGCTTTTATAATTTGGCCTTTTCGAAGAGGAAGAGGATGAAATTGGGACACTAACTTCATGATATGAACTCTCTGGATATGTAACCAAATAAGGATAGATTGAAAGCTGAATGTTATTTACCTCGATAGCATCGGAAATTTTCCCTCCACCTTCGAGCAAAATTAACCGAAAGATAAACAGAATTTCAACGTCAATATTGTTGGTTTCTGAAAGAGTTGTTAATCACTTCAGGTCCGCCTATTCTCTCGTTATGTATCAGATGGGTACTCTATAATTTCTCTTTTTGACGAAGTATTAAATAAGCCTGGGCATATGATGAGCCAAAAAACCCAAGTATACAGTTCAAAAGTTTGACCTTTCTTGTTTGCTATAATGGCGAGGCTTTTTTATGCCGGCAATTCGAATAAGGTTCAACTTTAATTTGGTCAACTTTACATCCGAATTATTATTTCAAGGTCTTAATAAATATTCAGTATTTCTACGATTTATCTTTCTAGAAAGAATAAATATTATTTTGACAATCAAAACGTTATATAGCTCGTGGATCCTTTCCCTCAAGTTGAAATTTTCTAAATGTTGCTTTTGGGTTTTTTTTATCATAAATTTACGTGAATTTTATTTATTTTCTAGTTTATTTCATTACTTGTTGGAATATTTGACAAGACGTTCTGAAAGAGAGGATTACGATAGGACAGGGACGCACTTCCATGCTTCGTTAGCTCTTTCCAGGGTCGCTCGGACCTGTTGGGTCTAATAAATTTAGTTAACGCCGCCCTTTGGAACCGGCACCTTCTTTTGCTCCCACGGAACAGACTCAACCATTAGGATATTTTACGCAGGCGACTCATACCTTCCTGCTAAATTGGGCCAAAACGGAGGCACTTGTAAGACGGCCAAGCTGTAAAAACCAATACCTATTTCACTTCTCCAACTTGAAAACATAAATTCATTCTACAAATAAATTTTAAAAAAAGAGGCTCACTTTAAAAATTCCCTTCGGAATAAAGTTCATCAAATCATTTGACTATATCAATCAAAAAACAAAGATTGAAAGCAACAGATGAAAAAAAAATCCGACCGTATTATTTGTACATTTTTTTATATAAATCATTCCCCCCCATTTACAGATATGTCAGATATCAATGGCATTTATGTTTTCCCATATATAGCTGATAATTTTCCCCTAAATGGGAAAACGATATGAGAACCCTCCAGGAGAAAGAAATCCCCATTATCGGATATTCAGGATTCTTTACAAGACCGTGTTTCAAAGGGAATCAATCTCCGAAACAAGTACAGACAGATTTTCAACCAAAAATTCTAATGTCCTTTCAACGTAATTATTTTATAGTTAGAAAATTATGAAAAACAGTTACTTTTTACATTTTATTGTAAAAGCAATTAATAATTTATACAGGTTGTCCCGTCACTAGACAGGGTCAATACTTCAGGACGTTATTCTACTAATCAAACTAAATAAACTACTAAACATTTGACTTTTCGTGTTATTCCACACTTTCACAACTTTTCCCATCAAGCCCTTTTATCTTATCAATTAACAATTCTATTTTAAATTTGATTACACCAACAGAAAGAAAATGACAACCGTTA